GCTAAATATGAAGCTAGCTAACTAGCTAAATATGAAGCTAGCTAACTAGCTAAATATGAAGCTAGCGTGCTAGAGGATTCTGGGTTAGCTTCAACTTTAATGAAGTTGGTACCATGGAAACTGACCGCTTGGAGCAGTGAATCCTGATGACGATCCTGTTTTCGTCAGAACTTCCTCAGAAGCGTTCCCGGTTGGACCGGTACAAGGAGATGATCCGGAGCCTTCCTCGGTCAACCGGACCACCATGGCCGCGCTCATCAGCCATCTTTACAGGTCGGGCTCTTCATCATCATCTGCAGCAGCAGCAGGGACCCGGCTCCGGTTCGGACCCGGCTCGCAGGTTCTGACCCGGCTCCTCTTCATCAGGGTCCAGAAGTGCGCCGACCTGAACCAGATGTGCACCAAGAACCTGTCGCTGCTGTTCGCTCCCAGTTTGTTCCAGACCGACGGGAAGGGCGAGCACGAGGTGAAGATCGTGGAGGATCTGATAGACAACTACCTGGACGTGTTCGAGGTGATCGACCCGCAGGAGAACCGGAGGAGAACCGGAGGAGAACCGGAGGAGAACCGGCTGACCTGTGGTTCTGTTTCAGATTGACGAAGATCATCAGACTCAGATTGAACTGGAAATCAGCCTCATCACCAGCTGGAAGGACACTCAGGTCAGCACACACACACACACACACACACACACACACACACACACACACACACACACACACACACACACACACACACACACACACACACACACATGCAGACCAATGAAAAGGGAATGCAGCTACAGCAGCTGCAGCAGCAGCTACAGCAGCTGCAGCAGCAGCTACAGCAGCTGCAGCAGCAGCTACAGCAGCTGCAGCAGCAGCTACAGCAGCTGCAGCAGCAGCTACAGCAGCTGCAGCAGCAGCTACAGCAGCTGCAGCAGCAGCTACAGCAGCTGCAGCAGCAGCTACAGCAGCTGCAGCAGCAGCTACAGCAGCTGCAGCAGCAGCTACAGCAGCAGCAGCTACAGCAGCTGCAGCAGCAGCTACAGCAGCTGCAGCAGCAGCTACAGCAGCTGCAGCAGCAGCTACAGCAGCTGCAGCAGCAGCTACAGCAGCTGCAGCAGCAGCTACAGCAGCTGCAGCAGCAGCTACAGCAGCTGCAGCAGCAGCTACAGCAGCTGCAGCAGCAGCTACAGCAGCTGCAGCAGCAGCTACAGCAGCTGCAGCAGCAGCTACAGCAGCTGCAGCAGCAGCTACAGCAGCTCTTCCTCTGAGGCGCTGCTGCCCATTTGATGTGATGCGTTGAACTTACAACATGGATGTCCAACAAGATGGCCGCTCTGGTCGTGGTGACGTCACAGGGTCACATTGGTGGAAAAAAATGTCCAGATTTTCCACAGATTAAATGTTGGAAAACCAAAAGTTTGGTATCTGGATGTGTGGGTTCTGCTGGGCCAGTTCTGATCCAGTTCTGTCTGTAGCTCTCTCAGGCGGGCGACCTCATCATCGAAGTCTACCTGGAGATGAAGATCCCCGACTGCTGCGTCACTCTGAAGGTAGCTCCACCCCTCCGCCCTCTTCAGCGCCCTCAGATATGAGGCTATGACCTTTGACCCTGCAGGTGTCGCCCACCATGTGTGCGGAGGAGCTGACCAATCAGGTTCTGTACATGAGGAACGTCCCGGCTGGAGAGAGGGACGTCTGGATGACCTTCGAGGCCATCGAGGACGGACAGCTGGGTGAGAGAGCGGTTCCGGTTCCACCACCGGTCGGTCCAGTTTTAGCCTTTTGCTAAAAATATGGCCACTTTCTTTCCAACAGACGTTTAATAAATGAAGATAACAATCATGACCTGGCTGCCATTTTAAAGTTACCAAATGTTAACATGATCATTTGATGGATTAAATACTGACTGAATAAACACAAAGCGGTGGAGAGAGAAACACAAATTCTTCCAGTTCTCCATTAAGTGCGTTACTCCCGCCTTCGCAGCCCGTCAGCAGCTTATGAGCAGAAGCTTCAGGAGTCTGTTGAGTGAAGGGCAGGATCGAACCCGCGACGTCCGTGTCGAGGACGAAGGCCTCCAAACGTGGGTCGTGTTTCTGTCTGTTTCTGCTTCAGCATGACCAGCAACGCCCCCTGCTGGACGGAGGCCACAGTAGAACATCGTAGGGATGTCATGAGTAAATCCAAAGAACCTGGTTGTGACATCATGAAGCGGGTTCTTCTCGTCCTGCAGAGCGTCCGCTGCATCCCAAGGAGAAAGTTCTGGAACAGGCGCTGCAATGCAAGATGGCCGACCCAAGCTCCGCCCACCTGCTAGTGAAGAGGGTTCCTATAGGAGAAGGCCTGAACATCCTGACCTGTAGGTGATGCACCTGATCCCCTGTCTGTCTGTCATTACCTCACCGCCCCCCCCCTTACCCCCCAGCCTACAGGTGTGATGTCATGAAGGTGGGGCTGCTGCGCTGCAGGGAGGAGCCTCCCAAGCTGCTGCAGGGGAACCGCTTCCAGAGAGAACCTTCCAGATCCGGGACCACAAGCTGCTGCTGCTCAAAGACCGGAGGGTAGGCAGAACCCCCGGCCTGGTTCTGACCCACTTTGGCCCGGTTCTGATCCACTCTGTGTCTCCCTGCAGAGCATCAAGCCAGAGAAGGAGTGGCCCCTGAAGACCATGAGGATCTACATCGGGATCCGCCGCAAGCTGAAAGCTCCCAGCAGGTACCAGAACCCGGAGCAGAACCAGAACCCGGAGCAGAACCAGTACCCGGAGCAGAACCAGAACCCGGAGCAGAACCAGAACCCGGAGCAGAACCAGAACCCGGAGCAGAACCAGAGTCTGAAACAGAACCCCTCTGGTCCAAAGCCAACTGTTCAGACCAGTCCAGTTCAGTTTTGTTCAAATGGATCAGAACCAAACTGGTTCCAGAACCGATTCTAATTGGCCCTCAGAATAATGACCTCATTGCGGTCAGAACCAATGATCCGCTCAGATTTGGAGGAACCAGACCTGGTTCTGCTAAAGCGGACGCTGAGCCGGGATCAGAGACCTGGCCTGGGTTCTGGTTCTGATCCGGTAACAGCAAGCTGCAGCAGAGTGTCTCCATGGTAACGTGTGTCTCTGCAGATGGGGCTTCACAGTGATGTCAGACAAGCACCAGCTGTAAGTATCACCAGAACTTAGTCCTGACCCGGTTCTGTTCTGACCCGGTTTATCCCTCTCTCTAGGTTCCTGTGCTGCAGCAGTGAGGCCGAGCTGTGGGACTGGGTCACCAGCTTCCTCCGGGCTCAGGTAATTCTGCAGAACCGGAACCGGCACCAGAGCCGCTCACACCAGGTTCCGATTCTCTTCCAGAACGACGATCCGGGCCCGCCGGTTCTGCGGCGCCACTCCTCCTCTGACATCTCCAAGCAGAAGTTTGGCACCATGCCGCTGGTTCCGATCCGAGGAGACGAGAGCAACAGCAGCATGCTGTCGGCCAATCAGACACTGGTGAGAGGCCGGGTCAGAACCGGGACCGGTCAGAACCGGGACCGGTCAGAAGCGGGACCGGTCAGAACAGGACCAAAACTCCTGGTCAGGTCTGAGGTTCTGTTTTTTCTTTTCTCCCGCAGAGGAAGCTTCACGACCGACGGACCCTGTCCATGTACTTCGTACGTTTTCAGTCCGAACCGTCTCTTTCTGCCGGTCCGAACCGGTTTCTCTGCCGGTCCGAACCGTCTCTCTCTGCCGGTCCGAACCGTTCTCTGCCGGTCCGAACCGGTTCTCTGCCGGTCCGAACCGGTTTCTCTGCCGGTCCGAACCGGTTCTCTGCCGGTCCGAACCGTCTCTCTCTGCCGGTCCGAACCGTCTCTCTCTGCCGGTCCGAACCGTCTCTCTCTGCCGGTCCGAACCGGTTCTCTGCCGGTCCGAACCGGTTCTCTGCCGGTCTGAGACATGAAGCGTGAGAGTAGAACTGGAAGTGATCCATTCGTTCAGAACATTTTCAGTTTTACTAAAACCAGTTTAAACTCGGTTTTAATAAAAATAAGTTAAAGTAATTCCAACTCCAAATTTAATCTCAGTAATTTCGAAAGACAGTATTTTATTGTTACAGAAATCTTCACTTTAAGCATTTTTCAGTTTAATTAAAATTTATGTATTTTTTTTATCTTAATCACAAAAAAGTTTATATATAATTTGATTCTTTAAAAATTTTAAACTGAAGCACAATTTTAACAGTTGACATTTTGAAACAGTTGAACAGTTATTATAATATTTAAAGATGTTTGAATTCAGAACAAACCCCGGTGATGAAGCTGTGCAGAACTGCTGGAGGGTTCGGTACCGTTAACTTTGGTGGGGTTTGGTTCTGTCTGTGTCCAGCCCATGAAGATCCAGCAGGACTCGTTCGAGGAGCGGGCCGAGTCTCCGGACCTTCCGGAACCGCTCTACGAGGAGGTGGGGGACTTTGGCCTGCAGGTGCTGAAGTCTCTGGAGACCAGCTTCCGGTCCAGTCGCGTCGCAGAGACCCAGGAGGTTCCGGACCGGCAGACCCGGCTGGTTCTGTCAGAGAGTGGACATCTGGACCACGTGCCCCCCCCCCAAGGGTCCGCTCCGTCTGCGGCTCCCTGGAAACCCTGGAGCGGAGCGGCAGCAGCGGGGCGGCCTGCAGTTCCCCCTACCCGCCAGCAGAGGGCGGCGCAGACTGCAGTTCCCCCGGCCCGCCAGCAGAGGGCGGCGCAGACTGCAGTTCCCCCGGCCCGCCAGCAGAGGGCGGCGCAGACTGCAGTTCCCCCGGCCCGCCAGCAGAGGGCGGCATGCGGCTCGGAGTCTGCACGGCGTCCCAGGAGCTGCTGCTGCAGGAGCTGTCATCCGCCTTCATTAGGAGGAGCGAAGAAGAGGAGAAGCTGTATGACGTCTGAGGAAGGTCAGAACCTTCAGAGGACCCGGGGCCATCAGAACCACCTGGTCTGGTTCTGCTCAAACAGACCCACCAGAACCAGGCTGGCAGCATGACGTCATTATGGGGATGGGACAAACATCAGATGTTTGACTGTTATGGGTTCTGTTTGGATTTTCTGGGTCGGGTGGGTTCTGGTAGAACGGCTGAACGGCTCCAAGTTGCTGCAGTTTGTAACTTAATAAAAACAGCAGAAACGTTGGTTTGTTTGGGCTGCTAGTTCTGATTCTGATGTCTCGACCCAGGTTACTGGGTCACATGATCCGGGTCCATCAGAACCGGGCCTGTATGAAGCTGTGAACAGTAAAGACCTCACTCTGTCTGATTCCGACTCATTTTACTAAACACACGTAGGGATCAGAACCGCTGACCCGCTCCGGTATCAGAACCGCTGACCCGCTCCGGTATCAGCAGCGGTAAAATTCCCGTCAGTCCGTCTTTGTTCAGTCTCATCAGCCTCCGTCACCACGGTGACAGGGAAGGCGGGCCCAGCCCCGGCCCCGCCCCCCCTGTCCAGGTGCGTCGGCCTCAGGTCCTGCTGGGCTTCAGGCCGTGGATCTGGCCGCCGGCCCTCGGCGGTTTGTAGGCGGCCGACTTTCGGAGCCGCTCTCCTTTCAGCGAGGCGACGTGAGGCAGCAGCGGCGGCGTCCGCAGGCCGAAGCCGGCCGCCTCCGGGCCGTGAACCCGCAGCTCCACCCGCTCCCCGGACAACGCCGTCACGGCGACCCAACCTGACAGACAGACAACAGGCGGTCTGAGTGAGGGGATCGGAGCCGGCCCGGCGGGGGGGCGGGGCTTACCTGCTGACGACAGCGTGATGTCGGCGGCGGCCTCCAGGTAACCTCGACCCTCCAGGCTGAAGTCCTGAGGAACCAACGCAGGAAAGCGCCGCATCCTCTCCGACCCGCCTGCAGGCACCTGAACGCAGCACGGAGGCAGACATGACACATGGCGCCGTGACGGCCGAGGTCACAATGAGGTCACGTGACTCACCCCCAGCAGGGCGTGGCCAGCGTGTCGCTCGTAGACGCTGGCGGCTTTATCCAGACCGGTGACGTGAACTGGGACCAGACTGGAGGCCAGAACAGAAAACCAGCAGGACTTCCTGCCCTGCAGACGGCAGCCATTACTCAGGCGTCCGGCGTCAACCAATCAGCTCATTCACCCTCCGTCGGCCCCTCCCTACCTGCAGGAAGTCGATCCGGGCCAGCGCTCCGACAAACAGAGTCATTCCGGCTTTCAGGACAAAAGTCCGGGGAACGATGGCCCGGGTCGGAACCACCGACCGGACCTCCTGGTCCTGCAGCAGATGGAGGATCTGAGGAAGTCCAGAGAGCAGGAACAGGAAGTGGATTCAGAAAAACATTGTGAATAAAAGATTCAAAGATTTCACTTTTAAGATATGTAAAAAATGTTTTCCAATCAATTAGACAAATAATTTAAACGTTTTTACATTTATTATCATTTTTACAATAATTATCCTAAAACTCCACATTTCCTGGAATTGTTTTTTTAAGATCAAATATTTTAGTTTACTGGACGAAAAAAACATTTTAAAGTTATTTGAGACAAAGAGGAGCGATGAAGAGGAGCGATGAAGAGGAGCGAGGAAGAGGAGTGATGAAGAGGAGCGAGGAAGAGGAAGGATGAAGAGGAGCGAGGAAGAGGAGTGATGAAGAGGAGCGATGAAGAGGAGCGAGGAAGAGGAAGGATGAAGAGGAGCGAGGAAGAGGAGCGATGAAGAGGAAGGATGAAGAGGAGCGAGGAAGAGGAGCGATGAAGAGGAAGGATGAAGAGGAGCGAGGAAGAGGAGTGATGAAGAGGAGCGAGGAAGAGGAAGGATGAAGAGGAGCGAGGAAGAAGAGCGATGAAGAGGAGCGAGGAAGAGGAAGGATGAAGAGGAGCGAGGAAGAGGAGCGATGAAGAGGAGCGAGGAAGAGCGGCTCACGTCTCTCTCTCTCAGGATTCCCGGCGTGTCGTGCAGCCAGTGAACGTCTTTCAGATCGTTGGCGTTCGGCTCGTCATGTGACCCGACGGCAGCTGGAGGAGAAGAACCGGGTTAGAACCTGCAGATGGAAAACGATCAGAACCCGATCAGAACCCGATCAGAACCCGATCAGAACCCACCTTCCTTCTGTGAACCTCCGTCTTCGCCAAACGCTAGGCTGTCCGGATCAAACTGGATCTCATCGGTTCTGGATCCGCCGGACCGGAACGTCTGACCGACCCGACCTGGACAGGCAAGCAGGTGATCAGAGACCCACCTGGCTCCGCCCCTCGACACCTGGCTCCGCCCCCTCCTCACCCACTAGGTATCCATGGCGACCGAGCCTCTGCAGCCGCCGCAGCTCGTCGGCCGGTAGCTCCGCCTCCGTCTGCTGCAGCGCCTCCTTCAGGCGGTTCTGGCGCCGGAACATGCGGTAAGGAGTCGGGTTGGTGATGGGGAACTTCAGGAGCTCCAGAGTGGTCCCTGAACGCATCGCGGGGAGACACAGCGGGTCAGCCTGGCGCAGCGGCGGCCGCGGTTCTGGTTCTGGTTACGTACCGGGCCAGGGGGAGATGGTGGCCCTGCGCAGGGCGCCGGCGGCCGCGGACCGGCAGTAGTCGGACTCCAGCAGCGCGTTGAACAGCGTGGACTTGCCGGCGTTGGCTCCGCCCACCAGGAAGACGTCGCCCTTGTAGCTCCAGGAGCGCTGCAGGGCGGAGACCAGCGCCTCCAACCCGAAGCCCGTCTTGGCGCTGATCAGGTGGAGGTCGGCCACCTGCGGCCCGAACCCGGCGTCCCGGCAGCACTGTGCCAGGCGCCGCTTCAGGCGCTGCAGGTAGTTGGCGCGTCGGCAGGCAGCAGGTCCACCTTGTTGCCCAGAACCACCACCTGCTTGTTGGTGCCCACCAGGTCCGGCAGGTCCAGAACCAGAGAGCCGGGCAGGTCCAGCAGATCCGCCACCAGCAGCACCAGCGCCTTCCGGGTTCGGACCCGCCGCACCACGTCCCGGTACTGGTCCCGGCTCAGCTGCAGGTGCAGCGCCTTGTGGTGGTGGGTGAGCAGGTGGCAGCGCTGGCAGGTGGCTCCGCCCAGTTTTCCCGCCGCCGTCAGGGCCTTGAACTTCTCGCTGGGCAGGAAGCCGGGCAGGTCGGCGGCTGCGCAGTGCAGCAGGGCGCCGCAGCCGGAGCAGCTGGTGTCGCTCACCGCAACGCCTGCGTCCGCTGTCCCACACACGCGGTGCTCGCCCTTAGGCTCCGCCCCTTTCCTCTTCTTCTTCTTCTGGGACTTTATGAGGCGCTCGTCCAGCGGGAAGTCCTCATCATGGAACTCCATGAAGGAGTCTAGACCCGCCCCCTGCGAGGCTCCGCCCCTCAGCACCTGCAGCTGGCGCTCCAGCGCCCTCAGGCGGGTCCGGTCCCGCCGGTCAGAACCAGACCCAGAACCAGAACTTGAGGCGACGCGAAGCTGCTGCTCCTCGTCAGGCTCCTCCTCCAGTCCTGAAACAGGAGAGAACAAGTAGAGTCAGGAAACCCAACAGAACCGGCAGCAGAACCTGATTCCGACCAATCAGACACGTCCCAGGAGGTCAGATGATCACAGCGCAGGCCGGCTCTGTCTCAAGGTCCAAACGGCCGGTTCTGGCACATCAGAACTTCCTGATGTGCCAACAAATTATTCAGCGAAGAAACAACATGTTCTGACCATGAATCTGGCCTAGTCAAAGTCTAAAAACCAGCCTATAATATTTCTGGCTGAGTCTCCTGACGGAACCAGAACCTTCTGGACCAGACGGGTTCTAGTTCCGGGTTAGGAGGCTCCTGATTGTTTATGGATCATAGGAACCAGAACCGAGCCGAGATCCTTGACCTGAGGCAGAACAGTTCTGGAGATGAAACCCAATGAGAGGTCCAAAAGAACCAGAACCAACAAAACCGGAAACACATCCTGGTTCGGGTCATGCTAATGCTAAACAGTTCTGAAGCCGAGTCCAGAAGGTTCTGCAGAACATCTCAGCACCGGAACCACGCACCGGGTCAGAACAGCACCAGCTCCGGTACCGGAACCAGCAGCAGAGCAGGAGGTTCTGTAGCTGCTCACCTGCACAGTCCAGGAACACGAACTGTTCGTCCAGGTTCGGATCCACGGTGCAGGTCCGGCCTTCGGCCCGGTGGGCCGCCGCGGCTCCGCGCGCCGCGGCCTCACCTGCCGCCGCGGAGCAGACGCTCCTCCACACCTGGCGGCGGAAACTCACCTGCAGCAGCTTCAGCATGCTCACCTCACCGTCCCCGTGCTGCTTCACTTCCTCAACGGATGTGACGTCACAAGCGTCACTTGTTTATTTTTGGTGAAATTCTGTTCACCTTACCGCCACCTATCGGTAGATTTTAATAAACAAGGATTGGTCATAAACCAGAAGGCGCATGCGCAGATCTTCTTGTCTATCAGATCATTTAAATGTCTCATTTGACTAAATAAATAATGATGGAATTAACACAGTTTTTTTCTTTTGGAGTGAGACATCTTGCGTAGATGATCTACGGCAAACTGCAGATTAAACAAACAGAGTGAGTCCTCCTGTTTTCATAGGATCGCTACAGATGAAGAGGCTCCGCCTTCAGAGTGGGACGTCTTGCATTTAGAGGATCTGTGCTAAAGTTCTCTGCACCGTCAAAATGTTGAAGCTGTTTGGTGCTTGCAGGCCTTCAGCCGCACTGTTCAGAACAACTGCTGCTGCAGCAGCTGCTGCTGCTCAGGTGAGTTCACCGCCATCATCTGGACCTCACACTCCGGAACCACAGCTCGGTCCAGAACCAACAGAACAACAACCAAACGAACTCGCAGGTTTTCTGCCCTAGAACCTTCATGAGTGACAAGTTGTCTGCAGAAACAGATAACCGGAAGCAAAATCTGCAGGCGTTCGGTTCGGTTGGGTTGTTTGTGTCAATGGCTGACCGAGAAAAAAGGTCAGAACCATCTCGGAACCTTTGGAGTCGAGGGGGCGGACCCTGAACGCCTCATGGCCTTCAGCTGTTCTGTAAACAGAGAAAATGTGTGTGTGTGTGTGTGTGTGTGTGTGTGTCAGTCTCATGCCTCATATGGAAATGGGGCCGTTGCACTCCGGAAGTGAAGGGGGCGCTATTTCCTATATTCCAGTTTTGATTTTCCTTTGATATCTGTGATATATTTTCACATTCAGGAAGGATTTTCACTCTCAGCTTGTATTTGATCTTTTGTTTAACAGATTCTGTAGCTTCCTCTGTTCTTCTAAACCTTTTTATGTTATGGAATTTTCCTTTTCAACCAAAGTATCTTCAGTAGCTTCAGGGAGGTTGACTTCTAGTCAGACGAGACAAAACGTGATATTTTGGTGACGTCATCAGCGCCATGATGGTTCTGTTCCCACTGGGACACATGGAGGAGGCTGGGTCATGCTGTGGGACTGCTCTGCTCCATCAGGGTGTGTTGAACGATGAAACCTCCAGACTATTGAGGTAATTTGGAGAGAAATGTGCTGCCTGGGGTCTCAGGTCAAAGGTCATCGAACAGAAAATGACCCAAACCAACTACAGATGAAAACACTGGACTGTTCTCACCTGACCTTGAACATCTGGCGCGTTTTGTTTCGCCCCAGTAGGCTGAGCAACGAAATATGAACTTCAGTTTAGTTTATTTTTTACATAATTCAGTTGAACCAAAAGGTTCATTTTCAGATTTAATATGTGGTTTAGTCGGTTTCCAGTTATTTCAGATGCCGTGGGTTTCTTGTGGGAGTGAGACCTCTGTCCTCTCGGCCCCTCTCTGCAGCCCAGCGCCCCCCTGGCCACCGGACCCCAGCAGGACCAGAGAACTTTCTACGAGTTCAGAACCTACAGCATCCGTCCAGACCAGAACTTGGCCTTCCTCAAGCTGACCAATGAGAAGATCCACCTGCGCACCGCCCACTCCCAGCTGATTGGCTACTGGACCGTGGAGTACGGCGGCCTCAACAAGGTCTTCCATATATGGCAATATGGTGAGGACACTTCCTGTTGGACTTTTTTTAGATTGCTGGAAAAAGTGGTGGTTCTGGTTCCAGATGTTTGGGTCTAACCCCGCCTCCTCTCAGACAGTTACTCCCAGCGGGCAGCTGTGCGGGCAGCCCTGGCTCAGGACCCCTCCTGGATCTCAGAGTACATCTCCAAGGCCTTACCGCTGCTGACGGCGCAGGACAACGAGGTTTCCTACCTGGTGCCCTGGAGCCGCCTGAAGAGCCCCCCCCAGCAGGGAGGTAGGCCCCGCCCACTGCCCCCCCTGGGCCTGACCGGGTCACTGGCTCTCAACAACCAATCAGAGCCAGGAGGAGGGTGTTAGTGCCGTCATCACACTCGGTGTGGCGCTGCTCGTCCCTCGCTACGCTGCAGCTGTCATAGCATGTTGTGAAGGCTAAGGCTACTTAGCATAGTCACAGACGATGGTGGCTAAACAGTAAGTTTAGCAGCAGGTACATGAGGATGATGTTCCGCTGGGTTCTGACGGTGGTTCCGCTGGGTTCTGACGGTGGTTCCGCTGGGTTCTGACGGTGGTTCCGTGTTCCAGGTGTGTTCGAGTTGGCGACCTTCCAGATGCGTCCTGGGGGCCCGGCGGTTTGGGGCGGCGCCTTCCAGGCGGCCATGTCGGCTCATGACGCTCCGGGATACGGGAAGCTGCTGGGGGCGTTCCACAGCGAGTTCGGACTGCTGAACCGAGGTACCAGAACCGAACCCGACTAGATGTCAGTTCATCCGGATGTTCTCGCATCGCGTCTCTAACCGGATCTTCTGGTGTCCTAGTTCAAGCCCTCTGGTGGTTCGAGAGCGCCGACCATCGAGCCGAATGTCGACACAAGGCTCACACTGACCCCAGAGTGGTTGCAGCAGGTAAGGCTCCGCCCCCGCTCTGTGACATCACTCCGGTGAGCGCTGGCTAACTGCTACCTGCCGTCTCTCAGTCAGGAACAGCGTGGCCCACCTGGACGCTCAGAGAAACCAGCTCATGTCCCCGTGTCCTTTCTCCCCCATGAAGTAACTTCCTGCCGTCTCCATGGTGACACATCCACGCTTCTCATTCAGGCTCCGCCTCCTTACCCGGACGGACCAATCACAGCAGCCGGCCACTCTGACCCCAAAGTTCTGCTGAGGTTCTGATCCAAATGCTGCTCAACAACAAACTGACTGTCAGAAATATTTTCTGCAATAAACTTCTTTACAGCGCGACGTTTCTATGACGATGCAGCTCCATCATTCATTTATACAGAATCTGAAATGTTTAAAATCCACATCTTTAACAGAATTTTAAGTTTCCATGTTTCCCATCAGCCACTTCAGTTTCAGGATGTCGGCCATCTTTCAACCTTTTCAGCTAATTATTGTCCAAAAATGAGTCGGATGAACCATTTTCAGAAACTTTACATGATGAAATGGAAACTGAAGATTTTACTGTGAAACATGCTAACGGTTAGCTCATGCTAACGGTTAGCTCATGCTAACGGTTAGCTCATGCTAACGGTTAGCTCATGCTAACGGTTAGCTCATGCTAACGGTTAGCTCATGCTAACGGTTATTCTGGAGTTAACAGAACCTGGAAGTAAGTGGATGGATCAGAACCAGAACCGCTTCAGGTAGAGTGTGTGTGTGTGTGTGTGTGTGTGTGTGTGTGTGGAGCAGCAGACGGAGGCAGCGTAAAGGTTTCAGGACGTTTATTCTGCTAGTTGGGCTGTAACAGCTCTTTTTCCATTAACAGCATAATAACATGCTGGTCGGATCAGAACCGGATCAGAACCAGTTCAAACAGACTGTAGTCTGGAACACACAGCGCTGCGGTCGGGCGACCAATCAGATCACAGATCAGTCCTGCAGCTTCCAGGCCTGATGAGGTATTTTGCTGCTTCCATCTCATCTTTATAAAACACTAAAAAAAATAGAAAAATCAGGCTTCTGATTGGCTGCTAAGACAGGAAACAGCATGGACCCCGCCAAAATAAAACTAAATGATTCTGTTCCAGCTACAAATATAAATAAAGTTGGACACTAAGAACGGAATCAAAGTGGGTAAAAAGTGATCAGTTTGAAATGATTGGGATTCTTCATGGAGTTCAAGTGTTCAGCGAATCACTGCATTGACTGGCATCGGGCGGCAGGAGGCTCCGCCTACTGCCGTGTGAATCAGCGCGCAGGTGAGCAGTTCTTCTGCTGCAGGTGGAGTCCAGGTGAAGTCCCGCCTCCCGGCGTCACATGACGCTCTCACCGTCCGCACCGCCGACGGCGGAGCTCGGCGCCGGGACGTCGATGATCATCTCCTTCCTCACCGACGTGTCTTTGGACAGGTAGTCGTCACTCTGGTCCTTGGCAAAGTTCACAAACACCTGAGAGCACAAAAAGCACATCTCCCATCAGCCCCATCACCTGTCCGGGTTCACCTGTCTCCGGGTTCATCTGTCTCCGGGTTCACCTGTCTCCGGGTGTGCAGACTCTCACCTGGTCCAAGGTGGTCTGGGTGACCGAGTAGTCCTCGATCCGCAGCGCGTCCTTGTTGTTGGCGAAGGTGGAGAAGATGTGGGCGAGCGAGGAGAGCGAGGAGGGCAGCTGGTACTGCAGCATGTTGCGATGCTTCTCCTTCAGCGTGCTGCCGCTCAGCTCGCTCTCGATGAACTTCATGACGGGACGCAGGTCCGGGTCGGGGCCCGCCACCCGCAGGATGATGGTGTATCCGTCCCCGAACCTGACCCACACACACACACACACACACACACACACACACACACACACACACACACACACACACACACACACACACACACACACACACACACACACACACACAGCTCACTGTCTGCAGACACTCACCACTGCCCTCTGCTGGTCAGTGAAACTACAGCAACCTGTGGTTCTATGAAACCCAAGGTCCGGCCACAAAGTGACACCAGAACCATCAGGATGCAGCAGGAAGAACCTGCAGCACCAACACAAAACCGCTGGAGGTCCAACTCAACCAAACACCCAGAACCATCGGCTGGGTCGACCCACCAGCCCCACGCAGAAATAGAGAAACTAGATTGTGGCTCCCTGCTGCAGAGACACCAGTCCCAGCATGACTCACCATCCTGCTGCTACGGGGCTTTAACCTTTGACCCGAGGGCCCATTTATTGGTTACCATGCTGACCTGACTCTTGTTCCATTTGAAAATCAAATCCATGTTTGGTTCACCATCAAAAATATAAAATATAGTTCCATCATAAAGGTTTTATTTCAGTCCTGATCTGAACGGAGATCATTCAGCGATTTAAAGCTCCATCGTACAACAGAAGA